GGGTGCCGGCCGCCAGCTGAAGCTCACCGAGGCGGCCGAGGAACGCTGTGGTGATGGCGGTTTTAGCGAACCATGTTGAGTTCATTGGTATGAGAGGGAGGGCTAGTGATTTTTGCTTCTTGAGCTCTAAGAGAACGGTTTGTTTGAAATGTAGCATAGCTCTGCTTCGACTTGAGAAACAAAATGGCAAGCGACTATAATGTTACAAATTAAGTATTTATATAAAGGCAACATAATTTTTTATGGTTGAAGTCGTGGGGCATGAGCAAGAAAACAAGTAATATTTGTACAGATTACGACTGAAGTGATTAAGAATTGGCTTCTCCACGTGTCATACAAACTTTCTAATCAAAAGCATTTATTGATGTTTGTTGGTGATAGTTGTAACTTGTCAGTGGTGCCCACTGCACATCTTAAGGGGCTGTTCCTTTCGCAAAAAAAAATTGGGAAATTAAAAAATAGGAAACCTATTTCTTATAAGAGGCTGTTTATTTGCCTAAAAAAAGAGGGAAATCAAAGAAAAGGAAACATATTTCTAAGAAAAATAGATTTTGGGATTGTTTGGTTGGCTAAGAAAAAGAAGAAAATCAAAGAAATAGAGATGAGATGAGTTGTCACCTTATTATAGGATGATGTGAGTGATTTTTTAAGAAAACTTATTTTGATGTTGGTTGGCGGAAAAAAATAAGAAAATAAATTATAAGAAACCTATTGATATATTTTTATGTTTTTTGCTTAGTAAAGAAAGGGATCAAAACAAGAAAGTTTTTTTCCCAATTATTTGAATAGTAGGTCTAAGAGTAACAATCACTACTATTATCATTACTTTCAGGAGTATATTTATGCACTTGCTCATAATCGCGGTTTAAATGGTTTAATTTTTTACGAACCTGTGGAAGTTTTTGGTTATGACAATAAATCTAGTCTTGTATTAGGTTGTTTTCTTTTGTTTGGTTATTTCTTAAAAATAAAAAAATAGATGAGATGAGATGAGTTGTCATTCTATTATTGGATGATGTGACCCACACTTAAGGAAATTGTTTTCCTAGCTTTTTAGGAGGAAAACAAAGAAATAAAATGTTAATGAGATGAGATGAGTTGTCACAATCTTATTAGATGATGTGAGTGATTTTTAAATATGAGATGAGATGAGTTGAGTGATGTTGTGGATAAAAATAATATTTTATTAGATGTGGTGAATGTGATGGATGAGTTGTTGGATGAAAATAATATTTTATTAGATGTGGTGGATGAGTTGTTGGATAAAAATAATATTTTATTAGATGTTGTGGGTGAGTTTTAGGGATGGAAATGTGTGAAATTGTACTTTTTGAGATTTCTTGGTTTTTATTTTTATTTTTTGGTTTTTTAGGAAATAACCAAACAGGCCCTAATAATTGTTTTGAGGCTGTTTGGTTAGCTTAAAAAAGAAGAAAACTATAGAATATGAGATAAGATGAGTTGTCACCTTATTATTGGATGATGTGAGTGATTTTTTAAAAAAACTTGTTTTGAAGTTGTTTGGTTGGTTAAAAAAATAAGGAAATGAATTGGAGGTATATTATTGGATGATGTTTTGAGGTTGTTTGTGTTTGGTTCATTTTTAAAAATAAGAAAATAGATGAGATAAGATGAGTTGGAGGTATATTATTGAATGATGTGACACATACTTAAGGAAAACAATTTCTTGTTTTTTTTAGGAAATGGATGTAAAGGAAGGTTTAATGAGATGAGATGAGTTGTCACAATATTATTGGATGATGTGTGTGATTTTTAAAAATGAGATAAGATGAGATGTGATGAGTTGGATGATGTGACACATTTCTTGTGTTTAGATGTGATGAGTTGGATGATGTGACACATTTCTTGTGTTTGGTTTATTTTTAAAGATAAGAAATGAGATAAAATAAGATGGGTTAGAGGATAAAAATATTATTTTATTGGATGTTGTGGTGAGTTTTATGGATGGAAATGTATAAAAATATTATTTTATTAGTTTCCTTGTACCGATTTTCTTTTCTTGGTTTTTAGGAAACCAACCAAACGGCCCCTTAGTTGATAGAAAGATAAGAAGTAAGCAGTAAAATAAAAGAAGTAATTTTAAGAATGATGATGTAGGAAATAGGGAAAATAGTTCTTTTTTTTGTTTGTTTCATAAAATTTTAGAATTTCAGAATTAGTGGATGTGATATTTCTTCCTCTTCATTTATTTATTTATTTATTTACTTATTTAGTTTTGTTTGTTTCACAAAGTTTTAAAAGCCGGAAGAGAGAAAGATGATTTTCTTTTAGGTTTTATTTAGACTGTAAATTAAATTTTCATAAAATAATAAAATATTTTATTCCTAAATTAATATGAATTTCAGCTACTTTCGAGATATTTCTAAGTTCTGACGATGGACAAAGATTAAACAAGTAGGGTACCACATAGGCGTTACGTCATCATTCACAGAAGTATTGAAAGTAGAATTTCAAAAGAAACAAAGACACTTTTTTTATCAGAAATAGCCTTTGTTTTCTTTACTTCAATTACTTCATGATTACTTCTGTACAAACATACCACTTCAATTACTTCATGATTACTTCTATACAAACATACCGACTCCCAGTGCATCCCATAAGTAATGTTAATTATTTAAGTTATATAAAAATATTTAATTAGAGGGCCCTCTGAGATACACCAATCATATTAATCCGCGTATAGCTAAATGTCGGTTTTCTCTACCACTAAGATTCTAAAGAATCCAAGCCACTGAGAGAGAGATTAAAGTTTATGTGAGATTGATTAATTAGCAGGTGTTTTTGTATCCAACTTATTGGAGGGCATTTTAAACATATTTACGTTCCTGATCCCCAAAGGATAAGATCTCGTTTAATTATCTGAATTCAAAACAAAAAAAAAATGTTGTTAGGAATTAGGATATAATCCTCCGACCATATCCAACAGCTAGCATGTAATTTAAATTACAATTTGGAAAGAAACATGTATTAAGAGGGTCCCTGCAAGACTGAGTATAAATGCCAAGCCTACAGAACCCTGTTGTACGAGGACTTAAGCTACAATTACCTCCAACAAACACTAACACTTATAGATTAGTTAGTGTTTGTTGGTAGCCTACATGAATTTTATTCTTCTATTCTATTCTATTATGAGTTATCTCCTCCGTTATGTTATTCATAATCATATCCTTCCTAACTTCTTCTAACCAAGTCATTTTAAGTCTATCTCTAAATCTCCTAACCCCATTAACTATAATATTATCATTTTTTCTATCCAGTGCACTAAGAGTCTCTGTGTGCGCGCATGACCAAACCATCTTAATCTATTCTCTCATTTTGTCTTCAATAGGAGCAACATCTAATTTGCTATGGATGCACTCATTTCTTATCATATCATTTAATGTATACCTACAAGACAATTACAACATTCTCATTTTTGCTACACTCATTTTTTTGCACATGTTATTTTCTAATTACCCGGCGCTCAGACCAAAAAAGCATAATGACTATTATAACTGTCCTATAAAATTATTCCTTCAATTTCAGTAGTATTTTACTATCACATAAGACTTCTGATGCACTCCTCCAATTTAACTATCCTGATTTGATTCGATATACAACATCATCCTCTATCTCACCATCATGGCTAATGATTGTTCTAAAATAGCAAAAATGATTATTTTCAGGTATTTGTTGGCCATCAATATGCACTATGAACTCTTTTCTTGTCTTAGTTTTATTAAAACTGCACTCCATACATTCTTATTTTTGTTCTACTAATTTTAAAACATTTAGATTTAAAAATTTGTCTCCATCTTTCTACTTTAGAAATTATACATCTTCTAGTTTCGTCAACTAACACCATATCGTCTACAAATAATATACACTATGGGATTTCATCCTAGATGTGCCTAGTAAGTTGGTTCATAACCAATACAAAAAGATAAGGGCTTAAGGCCAACCCTTAATGTAAATCTATGATAATTGAAAACGACTTAGTCTCTCTTTCATTAGTTCGTACTCTAGTTGTTATTCTATCATACATATCTTTAATCATATTACTATATAAATTAGATACATATTTCTTTTCTAAAACTCACTACATTACCTCTTTACGCACTCAATCATAAGCTTTTTCTAGATCAATAAAAATCATATGTATATCTTTTCTCTTCTCTCTATATCTCTCTATTAATCATCTTAAAATATTATAGGTTCTATAATTGACCTCACTGGCATAAAATCAAATTGATTTTCAGATATACTTATCTCCTTTCTTAGTCTTTGCTCAATTATCTCTTTCAAAGTTTTATAGTATGATTCATGAGTTTTGTACCATGATAATTTGAATAATTGTTTGTATCTCCTTTATTCTTATATACTGGTATCAAAGTACTAATCCTCCACTCATCAGTCATTCTATTCATCTAGATAATCTTAGTAAATAATTTAGTTAACCATCCCAAGCCTATATTTTCAAGACATCACTAAACTTTAATGGGGATACCGTCTGGTCCTACGGCTCTTTCACTTTTTATTTTCTTTAGGGCATCTTTAACTTCGTTAATTCTTATTTTTTTGACAATATCTATAGTTCCTATCATTCACTATATGGTCAAATTCTCTACTTACTTATTTGGTTATCATTAAACAATTAATGAAAGTGAGTCTTCCACCTCCCTTTTATTTCCCCGTCGGTCACTAAAACTCTTCGATCTTCTCTTTTAATACACTTAATATTACCCAAATCCCCACTCTTTCTTTCTCTAATCTTAGCAAGCTTATATATAGCTTTATCTCCTTCCTTGGATTCTAACTTCTTATAGAAATTTTCATAAGCCTTTTATTTATTTTCACTAACCACTCTTTTTGCTTCCTTTCTTACTAGCTTATATCTCTCCGAATTTTTCGTACTCCTCCACTTTTGCCACTCTGTATATAAAGTTTTTTCCTCTCTAATAGTCTTTTGCACACTCTCATT